AGATAAAAAACTCTGAAAAAACTGTGCACCCAAATGCCGTACATGTTGGCACACATCCATGGCCCAAGCCAGGGATCCCAGAGCCACTAAACTGTTTTGAACTGACCCCCGCCATGCGGTTGAAGCATTGTTTGGTTTGTGACGGTTGTTCGAGTGGGTTTTGACAAAACCATTTGTCGGAGTGTCACCCATGATCGATTTTTGTTTGCGTGAGGCTTTAGAAATCATTCAATTTTTTCAGGGCCAGTACTTGACCCGGCTTTGGCGCAGTTGTCGTGGCTCAAGAAGGTTGGCCCAAGTTTTGTAGAAGCTGAGGCTGTGTGGTTGGTCGTGTGCGGAAGTGGCTGGTGGATGGGCGTGAGTCGGTGTTGATGGCGATCTCTGTTGCCGGGTTTCGGGGTGTTCCAACCTGGCACAATAGGGCCGTGTCAGCTTGCCACACCGTTACTTGCTTGCTTGTGGTGCCTAACAGACAAGCACGTCACCAGTAGTTCCAATGCCAATTTTTTCCCAACTGCTGCCTGCTGCCTTGTCGAATCCACTGACAAGTGCATGCTTTGTTTCTTCAGGATAATGCCCAACTCGAGGAAGACAGCCTTGAAATCGGCGGCTTGGTGGAATGAGGAACACTTCCGTGTTTCTGGAAACAATACAAGCCATGAATCAGTGGGTTGATTCTTTCAGGTTTTTGCGCAGATCAGAACGTAGTTTCGCAAATTTTCTGAAAGCGATGCGAAACTGCTGATTGAAGATGTTGAACGTTTCCTTTGAATATCTCTGGGCACCCTTGGCCCAAACAATTTGCTGGTTTTGAGCTGTGGCCTTTGGTTTTCAAAATGCAAAAGTGAGCTCAAGGCTCAGTATGAGAAGAACATCGGCAAAGGGGGACCCAGCACCTTGGCAGATCATTTGGGGGTAATGTGTGAGGGTTGTGACTTGTGACCTTGCTTGGCTTCATGCATTGGCCAGGCAATTCTGGCAAGAGCAAGGAAACGTCCGGTGGCTCAGTTTCCTTTGCTGAAGAGCCAACTTTGTTCCTAGCAAAGGTTTTCCATCATCCAGATCATGGAACTTCCAGCCCAGGAGCCAGTTCACAGTTGGCCCCGTGGTCCTTGCTGTGTTTCTCTTCGTGGTTGTTGGGAGCTTGGGCAATTTGGGTTGTGGGAGATGGTTTAGCTTTTGATTGGTAGTGACGAACGTTACCATCGAGTACCCAGCATCGAGTCCCTAGAACAGTCAGAGTTTGTGGGAGAATTTGAAAACCTTGGCGATTGCGATCAGATCCACCGTTGTCATGCCTTCGGCAAATACTTTCGATTTTTTCTACCCTGTCGCAAACTGTGACGATGTGGCGCAACCACTGAGGTGGGATCAGCGATTATCCAGATCATTGCCAGTGCGCAGAAAGGTCAGTCCGAACATGTATATATATATATATATGGGTTCCTTCATAGAATAAAGCAAAGACAATATAAAGCACATCTGAGTTTCATTATGTCAGAATACAATGATGAATTGGTCGTCGCTCCATTGGAGTGTATCACATGCGCATCTCTGCCAGGCCTGATTTGAGGCCGACCGCCACAAACAGAGTGGCAGAGGCTGGTGTTTGCTGGCCCTGCAAACAGAAGTGAAGAAGTTGGAAGTTGTGAAGACCAAGGCTTTGTACTATCTATCACATTTTCTAGACAACAAGTAGACACACCTTGCTAGGAATGTACAATGAATTCTTGAGGGCCAATACCGGCTTCTCCTCAATGCCGCTACACGGCTCTCTTCCATCCAGCCGATTTGAGAAAACTTAATCCACCCTTGGGACTGTGAATGCAAATCCTGACAGGCATATTTGAAGCGCAGCCACTACTGAATGAGTTAGCTAAGAATGGTGTCGAGGGAACAAGTCAATCATTGTTGACTAGTTGGACACTTTGAAATTGTATCAAATAATTTGAAGAAAGATGATCAATTTGGTCAAACTCAGTCCCTTAAAAAAAGCCTCGTCTCACCGGGAAGAGACCGGATCGGCGTGACAACAGCGCCCCCTGACGCTGAATCGTGCCCGACAGAAAGCCGTTGACCAGGCAGACCGAACAGCGCTGTTGGTGAAGAGCACGAGATTCATTGGGGAGATTTGTGTTTTGTTCTGTGCGTCTGTCTCCTCTCTCTCTCTCTCTCGATTTCCACTCTTTTCCCCTTCTCTGGGATTGTGCGCGTGCATTTTAGTCAACTGTCAACTTTCATCAGATATGTCGCATTGTCCTATTGAAAGACGCTGGAACATTGGGAAAGGCACCAGTTTGTACCATTGATCTACCAGACATTTTTTTGTAATTTAGTAAGGTACCATTTTGTTGAGAACAGTATAGCTCTGGGAGGAAGGATTGGATGTTTCAGGTCACTTGCTTTCCATGCACAACATGATTTTGTGCAGCTCTGGCTTCATGATGACGGCTTCTCAGCATTGATTCAAAGTCAGTCTGGTGGGTTTTACCGCGGAAAAAGTAAAGCATCTCTGGATTGGAAGTTTGCAAGGCATGTCACCAGTGGATTTGGCATTCATACTGCTTGTAACAGCACATCATTCTGGAGGCAAGCACGAAACATTCAACATCACTTTTTGACATGTGGTGAGCTAAGCTCACAGCGCAATGGCTTTATATGCCATGCTCCCAGGGCTGGGCAACAAGATGACAGCAAACTTGTGACTTCGATTTGCAGATGGCTCGTTTTTGGCTTTTTTGCACGCTACTAGGCGCTCCTGGCCTTGCTACTAGGAGCAATAATGTTACTAGGGGCTCCTGGCATCGCTACTAGGAGCAATAAAGCTACTGTATATTTTGATTGGCTTTGATATGCAGATGTTGCAACAAAGGTGCGCGGTGAGCATACTATTCATACAAATTCTAGCTTGCCTGCATTGCTTTGCACTTCACAATGGTACAAAAGTGCTCGCACTTTTTGAGGGCACATAAAGATTGACAAACTACAACTGTTAACCTCGTGCTTTGGAGACAAAAACAATAACCAGATCTTGCGGAAGAGCTCGGAGCCATGCCGCGTTGAAGACATGGGCTCTCTCATCGCGAAGCATCTCAGCTGAAGTTTCCAGGTGTCCTTCATCGCCGTCCTTGCTGAACTAGAAGACCGGCGATTGATGAGTTGCGGACATGGCACACAATCCGGACCTCCTCCGATTGACAGAGTTGTTGTTGTGGTTGTTGTTTTGGGCAATCATTCTTCTCGCACTTCGAGAGAGGAGCAAACGAAAACCCATACTGCATGCTGGAGTATTAACAAGACAGACATGCTCTGCTCATTGAAGCTGCTCAGCATTCGCTATCGCGCGATCGCTCGGCTTGACGAGGCTTCCTGGGGCATTTGTTTTGATGCCACAAGAGTTGAAGCAGCTGTCCAGAGAGCAATGTACGAAACGATTAGCTTTGGAGGTCCGACTGTGATTTGTTTCTGTGCAGAAGGGAAACTCGGAAACATGGCAGATGATTGATGATTGCTGATAATTGCTTGTGGGGTTCTTGCCTTGGAAATATTTTCAGCAAGGGCAAGACCTGCAGCAATGACATTGGTGGCTCGGCGGAACCAAGACTGAGCAGCTGAGCGGAGTTTGACGACCTGACAACCAAGAATAGTGAATGACATGATACCGCACCCGAGGTGACGATGAGATCCGCTTGCTTCTGGAGGGCTCATTGAGTGCAAGATACTGTAGCCTGGCTCACCCTTTCTAGTAGCCAAGGGTCAAACAACCTTTGTTCTTTGTTCAACGATTTGCAGGTTATTGATTCAACCCTTGTTACTAGTAGCTTCTTGCTACTAGTAGTAATGTAGTAATGCCCTTGTTACTAGTAACTGATGCCCTTGGTTTTCGCAATGTTTCGAGACACCGAGGCAAACTATTTGCGCCGTCCATGGTTGTTGCGTTTCTCTCATATTTCTTGCTGGCCGCGTTCCTGCCGTCCGATGGCCATGCCCTGCTGGCGCTGGCAGTGGTGTGCCTCGTCTGCCTCGAAGCTCAACCTACGGCCCTAAATGCAGAGCAAGGTTGAATTTGCATGAGGAGCTTCGTCACCTACGCAGATTTTTTAGTATTCCAGTACTCACAATTGCGATAGATAAATAGAGCAGCAGCAGAGCAAACCAATCAAAGACTGTTGCCAGCTTGGCCTACTGTATTGAGTTGAAACCCTTGAACAGTAGCATTTGTTGCTGATTTGTTCATTTGGAGGCCAACAAGAATCTGAATTCACAAACCTAGGCCAGCCCCTGCTATCCTGGTTGCCGGGTCACGTGGTAGGAGCAAGGCATGTTGCTGTTGCTGCGATGAAGAGTTGACTGAAGTTTTTTGAAAAGCTGTCATGGCTCTTGATTCTCAGCAATTGAAGAAGTACAATATGTATATATATATATATATGAATGCTGAATGCTGCCAAGAAAGGTTCGAATGTTGTGGTTACCTTGATTCGGTTTGAGCATCCACGCTGTGTGCCAGGCCAGTTAATCCATAGAAGGTTGCTGATTGCAGATACTCAAAAAGGGCTTGACATGGCATGATGCCACTGACATGATGGCTGGAGCGCGTTTTTTGACATGACTGGACCTAGTGAGTTGCTACTGTCTGGAGTAGCATGGCCATCCCAAGGCTCTCTTCTCCCACATTTTTGCAGCTGGACTGTGCTTGGTGGTGTGGGGACCTGGGGCCTGAAGGTTAGATCTGAACATCGACAGATCACGTTTCAGTATGTGAGTTGTTCACGGTGAGGTCGTTGAACAGTGCTCAAGCATGGCTGAAAGAGCCAAGTCTTCGTCTCCAGCTCATTTTGTGGCCTCAGCATGACAGCTCAAGGTGAGGCTTGACCTCATATGGCATTTTGGGGGCAGCGTGAGCCGCCGGCACTTGCCAAGTATAACTTGTAAAGAAGCCCACCGTCTCTGTAAACAATGGCAGAGATTTTGTTTGTAGACTTGATCCTCAGCTGTGGAGACCTCACAGAATGCAACTAGACGAGCCAGTTTCGTATGCTGCTGATGTAGTCCGCAGCGTCTCCATGGGAGCTTTTTTGGAGAGGCAGGTCAGCAAGTTGTGACCTTCACCTGAATGCCTTTTGAAACAAAAGCCACTTGGCAGGGCGACTCATGGCGTTGACGATGGTGATGCCGCGCTCGCTGCAGTGAAGGCTTTCTGTGGGACCCGGCAAGAGAGTGATAGGGTTTGCAATTTGTATCCTTGGGTTGAGCAAGTCCCATTGAAAAGGCCGTTGTCAAGGAAGTTGCACTTGGAGGCCACAGGTTGTTTGCCATGGAGTGGAATTATGGCGCCATGTGCGTCCTCGGCGAGGAACTGCAAGGTTTTGGGAAGTTGGTGAGATGGGTTGAACGCATGGCACTTTCTTCATACAACGTTGCAGCTTTTCACTTGGAGAGGTGGCCAATGCTGTTGCACACAAGCAGGCCGTCGAGTTATGGGTCGGGAGTTGAAGGACAGTTAAGGCTAGACTAGGCTGGACAAGTAGGATTGAAAATTTATTGTACTCCGCTGTCAGAACTGTCAGAATTTTGACACCGTTTTTGGAAACGTGCCATCTACTAGGGTTGGAAAGCATGGGTGTGTGATTAGGGAAATGCCATCTGTAGATGGCACCACCCCGGGTGCAGGAAGGCACTGGCCAGGCGTTCCATCTACATGCTTTCGAATTTGCTTTAAACGCAGAAGGCATGATTTTTTGTAATATTTCCGCAAACAGCTTTGCTGTGAGGGGTTCTCAATTCTTGCATAGAAACGATGCTGGGCCAAGATGATTCCCGCCCTTTGACTCCCCTTGTCTGGATGCTGGGCTGAGATGATTTTGCTTTGTCTCCCTTTGTCTCCCCTTGTCTCCCATGGCATGTCTGGATGCTGGGCTGAGGTGTTTTTGCTTTGTCTCCCTTTGTCTCCCATAGCATGTCTGGATGCTGGGGTGAGATGATTTTGCTTTGTCTCCCTTTGTCTCCCCTTGTCTCCCATGGCATGTCTGCATGCTGGGCTCAGATGATTTGCTTTGTCTCCCTTCGTCCCACCTTGTATCCCATGGCGTACGCACTGTTCATTGCACAATTTCCGTGCCATCTAGCCATTTTGGGGGTATCCTAGTTGTGCATATCCCACGGTGTATAGAATTTTTTGTGTTTCGCTTCACTGTGGAGAGTCGTGTCGAGTTCTTTTCGATGTGTTCCATCAGTCGGCTGCGCGTCAACATGCATCGCTCTCAGCAACGGGTCTCACAGTCCATGGACTTCCAAAACTGCTCCAGTTGCAGAGCCCGTGGCAGGCGGCCTATGACATGGAATTGGCGAAGCATGCCACACATGCCGCGCTGGAAATGGAGAACACCCGAAGGTGGCACGAGTCGCGTTTGTGATTCCATAGTACTTTCTACTAGATCCACCTGGGTGACGTTGAAATCATCGAAGTTGCGCCTGAGTAGGTTTGTTTCGCCTGTTTTGGACTCACCTGTTCACTCTGCCCACCTCCCAGTCTGTGGAGGTGTTAGTGATTCTATGATCAGTGTGATTGCCCATTGAGTTAAATCTTGTTTGGGCAGGTTGGTGGAGCGTTACATCCTTGGCTCAGAAGTCCTGACCATCAGCGATCTGGAGCCGACAGCGGGTCAGGTTGAGGTGCACATCGTGCATATTTGCCAAATGGATCTGAGCGTGTTCGTGCACATTGGTTTTCTGGTAGTCTTTCCTTTTTTTGCTTGGAATTCCCATGGTCCCCCACGAAGTGTAGATATGCTGCATGTGATTTGTTGAAAGCTGATCCTTATCTCCTCATTTCCCAGCGCCAGGGTGGAGGGCCGCCAAACTACTCGGCCTTTCCTTATCCGCTGGAATCAGAGGGATGGCCCACGTAGGAATCCGAGCTATCTTATTTGACTCTGCGTTCGCATATGGCCAAAACCTGCCTGAGACACTGAAGTTCTCTATGAGGAACTATCCTGTCCCAGAGCCACCGACTCTTGACAAGATCTACCTCTTGCCGGAGAAGGCGAGCGGCTGGGTTGGAGAGCGTTTGAATGTTGGTGCATAGGGATGGCCTCTAACCTGATTGTAATGTGGCTTCAAAACGTGGCAGGCCAATCTTGCATTTTGCCCGACCTTGATTGTGGTGGCACGCTTAGATGAAATCAAGATTTAAGACCGATCTCGCAAGCTGAATGCTTCGGCGAAGTAGTTCATCTTAACTTATCCCTCCACGATCCCCGTGAAATGAAACATGTGCCCTGCAAGATGAGCATGTCAGTATCAGCTACCAGCAAACACGTTCCTCCTTGTTTTGGTCTGAGGCACCTACACTACCTGAGCGCCCGCGTGTGTCCTGTGTAAACTTTTTGTGAAGCGGGGTCACAAGTGGCTCATGGAGGATCAGTGGATGCTTAACAGCCTGAGACGTTTGCTCTCCCTGTGGCCAGCGAGGGTCTTGCGCTCAATATGGTGTACCAGATAACTTAAAGCCACCTAATTGGAGATATTAGAGATGGTCAAAGGAAGAGTACAAAGACACGGGTTTTGGTGCTGACGTTTGAACCACGCAATGAGCGAATTCTGCGGCTAGAGCGATGGGATCTGTCGGTTGATGTGAGAGCCACCCACCTCACGGATTCAAAGTAAATCCGTTCGAGCGTTTCCACTGGAGAAAAGCTGGCGAAGTGACTATATACTCATCTTATCTCATCTTCCTGGTCCTGCCGTGGACACCCAAAAGTGTTCAGGCAACAAACCAAGCTCCTTGATGTTCATTCTCCATGTTGTTCCCAGGCTAACACTTGGTCTCAGGTCACCCTGAATTTTTCTGTGTGTCTCCAGTGTTTGGAATTGTGGTGAGCAATTTTCTTTGGTGGTGTGCACTTGCACCTGAAAGATCGCACTGCTCAAGCCTCGGTTTAGGAAAAGTAGAAGTCGCCACTTCTGCAAAGCAAATCGCCCTCAGGAGCAACCGTTTTCTCTGACTTGTTTATGAGAGCGACAGGGAAAGCACGCCACGAAGCATGTTGATGCTGCGTTTGTATTGTGTGTGTTGCACCGAAGCCAAGCATCTCTGCCAAGGTTGGGGCGATTGTTGGCATTTCCGGCTTTCTGGCCCCACTCATAGCAGGCAAGCAGGATCATACTGCTCGCCCAGTTATTCAAGATTGTGATCTACTTCTCAGCATGAAGAACTGAATTTGATGTGGGAATGGATTGCAGTATTACATATATATATATATAAGAGGGTTGTGAGACAGGTTGGAGCGAGACTCGATGTTTGTGTGATGACATACGGAGTCCAATGCAGCATGCATGAGGCTTGCCGTTGCGAGCATGCTGGCGAGTTCTTGGCTGGAGCCAGGACAAAGACAGTTATGAAAGCCAACCTAAACAGCTGAGCTGGGTTGTGTCTTGCGAACGTGAGGTGGTGTGAGGGATGCAACAATATATATATATATATATATATACAGTATACATATATATATATTTTGGGAGAATGCTCTCAGCTCTTTCTTCTCTCGGCTCTTTCTTGTATTGTTTACGATCGTATATCACACATTCGACACATTTTATTCTTTACCGATGCAATAGTCAATAGTCAGCATCACACCAGATTCAAGCAATTTCTTTTGCTACAGAGATGCTGTTGTCTTTGCTGTTGCTGTTCTTACTGTTCTTGCTTTTGCTGTTTCTACCTTTGCAGCGAGGGCAGGAGGTCCCGAGTCTTGATTACTCTTGGAGCAGGAGCCTTTGCTCCAAGAGATTTGGTGTGAGCGCCTCGAACAAAACGAGAGACCGAAAAACACCAAAAAACATACGAGCATGGCAGTTGGCTGCTTGCCGCAACAGCTGTTGCGATTTGAGGTGCCCCGCGCCGACTGGTCTTCGCGGCCTTCGTGGGTTCTACCAGCAGCTTTCTCTGTGCGGTCTCTTGGTGTTCCCTCAAGGGATTCGAAGGGATTCAAGAAGATGGTGTCCATGGTGTCCAGTCATTCTGTAGTTAGAAACTCCTGTCAGACTACTTGTCAGTCTTGTCTCACCTCAGACGTTCCATGATTTCTTGGTGATGTACTACCAGAACACCCATGCCATCTTCAGTTGCTCAAGTGATGGAGGTGATTGCCATAGTGTGAAAATCTTGCACTGCAGTGCCAAGGTTTCCTTTGGGGTGTGTCGCCGATGCCCCAGTGGTCATATGTAGCAATGAAGAACTCCCTCGATGGTGACGCTGTTGACTTCAGCCAAAGTGATGTTGGACTTTCTGAAAAGGGGACCTTACAAGGAGGGGCAAGGACGCTACTAGGGGCTCCTGGCCGTACTACTAGGAACAAGAAGCTACGTTCGGGGCTCCTGGCATCGCTACTAGGTGTGTGTGGATCTTGTTCCCGAATGCGTAGCGAAGGGTTCCCGTTTATAGTTGGGGGTCTGGGGGTTGGACCTGTGTTTGCATGGCTTGCGTCGTCTCGTCGTCTCTCGTCGTCTGTCGTCGTCTCTCGTCGTCTCTCGTCGTCTCTCGTCGTCTCTCGTTGTTTGCCGTCGTTTGTCGTCGTCGTCGCGTCTCAAATTTGCTGCCATTGGGGGAAGCTTTTGCAAGTGACTTTTCATGGATGTGTCACGTGTCAGTTTGCGCCGCTATTCCATTGTGATTAGCAAGGGCGCTACAAGGGAGACGCCGTTGCCCACTGAAGGAGTTGTTTTTCGGCCCCAGACCCAAAAGAAGGTCTGTGGAGCGTTGGCAGTGGCGAGCTGAAGCGCTCCTGGCCAGTGCCTTGGACCTGGGAAGCTACTTCGACCCTTTAAAGCATGGTATCAGAAGATCTCAAAATGATAGAAGCCACTAATTCTTGATGTGGATTGCCCATTTCTTTTTGTTCTTCAAGTTGGGTGACGTGCTTTTCTTTCGGGGCAATACGATATTTTATGTGCATTCTAGCTCCAAGTCTGACTGAGAACTGTTTGTATAACACCTCGAGGCTTGGAGAGTCAGAAGTGAGCGGAATCTACGCTTTTGTGTCTTTTTGCAACGCTCAAGGTAGGATGTGCTTGTGTATGTATGAAAAAAGATTGTCCAGGCTTGCAACACTCTGATCTTCGCTCTCCTGGCTGCCTACAGCTTTTGCCGCTTCAAGTGCCGCTTCAAGGTGTTTCCAAACTTTTTGCTTCTGGCTGGCAGGTGTCTGTGGTATCTTCAAATTGCTATGCGAAGGTTGTAGGTCTTGGCTGGTTTGTCACTCCTGTCCACTGTCCACTGATGCGAATGATGCCACTCAACCAGCAAATAATCAATGGGATCTCAAAAATACACTCACTGGAAAAATCATGGACGTGGAAAACGGCACCTTGGATGACAATTTTTTCCTGTACAAACAGCTGGTCATCACTTTCATGATTATTCCTGGAGTGTAGCGTAGGTTGAAAAACATTCATGCAATTTCGAATTAGGACTGGTTGATCTTCCAGCAAGTCGTGATGCCCACAGGCGGTAGCTGCGGAGAGCGAGGAGATCGAGAAGCCCAAGGCGATGAGATGGTACAGTTTACATCATTTTGTTTACTTTGAGGATTTTCCACAAGAAAGGATGGCAAACTCAATGTCTGACTCTCCTAGTCCTAGGTCCTAGATTTGCAGGTTTTACTTCAGGGAGGTTTCTTGACACAACCTTGCTCTTCATGGTGGACGTCAGACCTTGTTTCCAAGGCCTCCAATGTGATGAGCCAAAGCTTTCATCAGATCGAGGTGGATGGGTGATGACCCTGGTCTTCAGACAAGTAAAGCTTAAACCAGTAGAACCCAAAGGCCTTGGAGATACCCACTCTATGACATCTAAGCTTGTCACCCATACTGAGGTTGATCCAGGCAAAGGTTCGCATGAATCTATCGGCTGGCCGATGCACTCACAATTTTGAACCTCACCTGGGTATATGTAGGTTTTGCTTGGCAGCACTTTGGAATACTTTGGAATTGTCACGGCTAGACTCGATCGTAGGTTTGGGGACGCTCTTGCTGAGGCAAGAAGTGACGCTGCGAGTTTTCCTCCCGGCCTCAGGCTTGCCTTGCTTGTGCATCGCATTGCAAAACACCCGACGCACCGCACGACACCTACACGGATTCACTCTGCGATTTTATCCCCAGGCGAGGACGAGGACAAGGAGAAGCCGCCTCGGCCTCCCGCTGTGGTCATGGTGTGCGGCTTGCTGTGGCATGGAGCCCAGGACCGCACGTCGCGTCGAAGTGGCAGAGAGTTGTTGCTCCTAGTAGCGTCCTTGCTCCTAGTAACTAGTAGCGATGCCCTTTGTTCCTAGTAGCTTCTTGCTCCTAGTAGTAAGGCCAGGAGCCCCTAGTAGCGTCCTTGCTCCGAGGCTGGGCGAGGGACTCTTGGGCTTCATTGGGTTGAACTTCAATGACGCCTTCGGCTATGCCTTCGCACGGCAAGGAGTGTGGCGGCCTCGAGGGTGTGGGGGACTGGCTCAGGGAATTAGGGGGGGCAGACCAGATCGCAGAAAGAAATCCACTCTGAATCTCTGAATCCAATTCGTTTCGAATCGTCTTTCTTTGTCTCCCTCACCTCACCTTGGAACTCTGGCATCAAGGTGCGGCATAGACTCATGGACCCTGTGGTTTTAAACATGGTCATCTTAGCATTGCACTCAATGGTCAGAACGGTCAGAAGTCAGAAGTGTCGTTTCTCTAAGGCCTTGTGTCCAGATCCACACACCTCAGCGACACATCGCCAATACCAGGGCCTGTGACCCAGCAGTTTTCACACCCAGAAGCTTAGAAGTGAACGACAGCAACTTCATCATTGGGTCATTCCATGTCAATGTCAGCTTCGCGAGGTGATGGAACTGGCCCTGGCTTTGTGTTCACCACTCTATTTGGCGCCAGCCTGAGTTTTTTGGTGGATGCCGTTGAGTGGACGGCATGTGGTATCCTTCTTCGGATGTGAACAGATGTTTGTCGACGAGAAGTTGACAACCAGCGGTTCCGGGCAGATATGCGTGGGAAGCTTTTGGATTTTTTCGGCAAACTTTCGTTGAAATACAGTCAATCAGTCAATCACACACACAATCCACCTGATTTATGCTTTGACCTTGCTTGTGGACTTGCCTTGGCGAAAAGTAGCACTGCAGCCAGTTGAGGGCTGTTGTGGAGACAGTTTGTTTCTCCAGATCAAGTACAGTATGTCTTGGTTTTGAATCATCCTCAACATAACTCCCTGCATGGGAGGGTTTGCACCGGATCGACAAAGCTGCAGGTCCCTGGATTGAGATTCCTGCTGCTGGTCAGGTCCCCAAGTGGTGAAAAGGAGAAGTTGCTGATGCCAGAGGTTTAAGCTGCCCTCAGTTGAAGAACTGTGTTAACTGCCGATCCAAGAGGTCCCGTTCGTTGATTTGTTTTGCACTGCCCAGGCCTCTGACATTTCGATGTGGGAGTCTCGGTGCCGGTGGCGCCGGCAAGCGCGCGATATCACGTCGGGCCGAGGTTGCTGACATCGAAGAAGGACCTCGTATTGCTCCTGCTGGCCTGCAGACTCGGAGTTGCACAACGGATGGTCCAAAGTTGACATCCTTCTGGAGGGCTTGCACAAGTCCTATGATGATTGTTTGGTATTGTTTGGTATTTGGTATGTCTGGTTTTGTTAATCCTTCAGATTCATGTTGTCTCTGCTATGCTGCTCACGTCCTTGCATTTGCACCCTTAGCAGCCTTAGCACATTGCACTTGCTAAGCCAGATTGTTTGGTAGAAGGGTGCACCTTGGAGCGTTTCCCTAGAACTAGTTTGACTTTTTCGCCACCTGCAGCACTTGGCTTCACAAAGCTTGACATTTTGCCAAAGAAGAAGCATTTGGCACTGACCCAAACCCAACCCATTCAGGAGGTGCAAAGACAGATAATGATGATTTCCACACAAATCCAAGATGGAATCTCACTCATATATGGCCGCCTCCCTGACTCCCACATTTTGACCGCAGATGTCAGCCTTGCTGAGCTTCCGATGACGAGTCGATGAGTTCATGAGTCATCTGGGGCCTACTTTTTGGCCTACTTCGCCCATGCGACAGGCCAGCCCCGCAGCGGTGGGCATCGACTTAGGCACCTCCTCTTGCCGAATTGGCCTTTGGCGCGACGGTGATGTGCTCATCGTGCCCAATGATAGTGGATGCCTGGCCACGCCCAGCTGTGTCGGCTTCTCGGATTTCACTGCGCCCGTGGTCGGGGAGGCCGCTGTGGAGCAGGCCGCATCCAATTTGCCCAACACAGTGTTTGCACCGCAAAAGCTTTTGGGTGCATCGTTTGAGAGCCCTTGGGCACAGAGGCTGCGCGTGGCCGGGCCACCAGAGATCGTCCGGGGGGATGATGGTTCAGCCATGTATCGCGTTCGTGATCGTGGCAAAGAAAAGGTTTTAGAACCTGGTGAAATACTGGCCGTTTTGTTGCAACATATGAAGAGGCAAGTGGAACAATGTTTAGGTGTACATGTGAAATCTGCAGTTGTTACGGTGCCGGCAAAGTATGGTCGGCAACAGCGCAAGGCCTTGGAAGAAGCGTGCCGAATGGCCCATTTAGAGGTTTTGGCATTGGTGAAAGCACCCACCGCAGCAGCCATTGCGTTTTCGTTGACCAACCCCAGAGAGAATCCACGAGATATCCTCGTCTTGGATTTTGGGGCCTGTTACTGTGATTTTTGCTTGCTCACCTTGCGTGGAAAGAGCCTGTACGAAAGGGCAGTGGGAACTGAATTCATAGACCTGGACTCATTGTTAGTGAAGTTTTGCCTCACTGATATCAAGATTCGACTGGGGCTGGACCTGTCCAATGACTGGGTTGCAGTCTTACGTCTTACAATGGCTTGTGAGAGCGCCAAGCGGAAACTCTCCCAATGGAATCAGACTCGTGTGAACGTCGAAGCTCTGGTCCGGGGCAATGACTATTGCGTGGCGATGTCTAGGAGTTACTTCGAAGAATTCTGCTCTCGTGACATCGACTGCCTACTGGAGATCTTTGACATGTGCCTGGAGGAGTCGGGCCTGGAACGCAATGGTGTGGACGTGGTGCTGGTGGGCGGCTCCTCGCGCATTCCTCGCTTCCGGCGCTTGGTGAAGGACTTCTTCCGGGGGCAGCCGCCCTCCGAGGTGCTCCGACCGGACCACGCTGCTGTGCTGGGTGCTGCTGTCTACGCTGCTTCCCTGGCAGGGCTATTGCCGCCGAACGAGGCTCCGGCGGATGGCCAGAAAGACTCTGTGAGTGGCATCTATAGCTTTGAGGGGTTGCAACTGGAGGTCAGGGGTGTTCAAAATCCTCCTCCTCCTCCTCATCATCATCATCATCATCATCCTCATCCTCATCCTCATCCTCATCCTCATCCTCATCATCCTTGTGGGGTTTGTGTGAGCAGGAATTCATCAAGGCTCTAATAAAAACATTTTGAGTGCTGCAAATACAAGTGGTTGAAAAGGGTTTGGTCCTGAACTGTTCCATGGCTGTCAGGAGATCATGCCCTGGTCAACATTGACCGTGGACTCGCTGGATGGTGATGTCGTCGCCTTCGATGCACCCTGCAATGGTGGGTTTGGCCCATCAAGGCCGCCAGAGGAGCCACTTATTCAGATTTCGCTGGATGGTGATGGCGCTGACTAGGTTCGGATTGTATTTTTGGTGGAATTGAAGGTCCACTGGTATGTCGCAAAACGATGCATCAGCACCAAACGAGTCATTCTGTGGCCAAAGTTTCACCGGTTTCACTCCGATTCGGCTAGGCGTTCGGGAGAAACAGTGTTGATCACCGGAGCAAGAGGGTTAAGTAGGCCTGCTAGGCCTGGGACGACTTCTACTAGGTTCAATCCTGGTGAGAAACAAATCTGCATACACATACCCATTGTTGCAAACATGGCGGGGTCGGATAACCACTGGGATGAGGAAGGAACGATGGCTTCAATGGCCCCATCATGAGTTTTTCATGAAGTGCACAGTGTAGGTGACATTCAACGTTGGACGGGGATCTTTGGCGTGCATGATATTGGAGTTAGGCTGTGGTGATCCCCGGCATCATGGATGCCGTGCTGGCCACTTCTTTAGCTGTCCCGGTGCGCTGCTCGGGTCGGGAGCATGAAGTCGATGTGATGGACGCACAAATATTGCTGGCACTTTCACACCTCACGCTGGCATGTTGGATAGGCTTGGGATCTTTTAAACGCGCATCTTCCTCATATTCTGTTCGTGGTTCTCTGTTCTTAGGCTTCTTGGAGGTTAGACAACATTCCTTGACATCTCGGACTTATCAAATCGTCCTCAGTCTTGACTTTTACCCTTCAAACAATAACCAGACGTACCCCTAGTCTATAAAGGGGAACCGCCCGATGCCCTTTCAGATGCTGCTCCTTGGACCTCTCGGATGGTTTATGAGCATCGCCAATATGGCCGCCGGGCTGGTGATTGTGCGCCTGCCTGAGAGTCGCTATTGAGATGGTGCTTGGTGAAAGAGCTTCCAAGCCATTTCATCGGAGTTGGATGCTGTGGGTCATGAGTTGAGGAGTATTTTGTGACTTTGAGATGCTTGAATCCTTCGCTGATTTCTTGAGGCCGCTGCTTCATTGTGCAGTGCGGCTTGGGCAGTACCTGTCAGAAGCACAGCATCATTCTCACAGCATGTCGGATTTTGTCATTAATTGGGAAGGGTTGCCCGCTTTCTTGTCATGCCAGTGATGTTCAGTAGATTTTCTTCAGATGACATCCGCCATGACGACTGGTTAATTCTAATTACTGTAAATTCTAACTAAAGTTAAAGTAAATTTTGATTCTGTTTCTGATAGCTTCTTGTTGCTAGTAGCGATGCCCTTTGCTCCCAGTAGCGTCCTTGCTCCTAGTAGCAATGCCAGGAGCCCCTAGTAGCGTCCTTGCTCCTTCCCTCATTTTGAGGCTGGGAGAGCTGGACTTTGACCGCCATCGGAATTATTTGCATGAGGCCTTGACGGGCAGCTTTTGATTGCTGCTCCCAAATCAATGCGCCGAATACGGCTGTTCCCAGTAGTAGCTTGTCGTGTCCAGGTTGTGCACCCCTCAAGCTAGTCAGCTGCACAATTGACACATCGCATCGTGTCATCGCCTCCTGGGTGATTTCAGGGAATCACATGATGCAGGTTATCCTTTGGATCCTTTGGTTGTCCACGACGATGCACCGTTTCCAAGACCATTTCTTCCTTTTGGCGCAGGTGGAGGCCACCGTCGCCTGGGACAGGTCCTCAAGAGTTGCTTGTGAAGAGCGACGCTTTGAAAGGAAGACTTGTTCGTTTTCTGGATTTGTTTGGGTCCATTACCGTTACCTTGTTGAAGTCCGGGTGTGCGAGCTTCTTTCATTCTGCGGGCACGTACCTGTCACCTGTGACATCCGTGCCAGCTTGGTCCGGGGGCCTTTTCGCACACTTTTGAGTTGGCGAGGTAGGATTGATCACCTCAACCCCGTCGAGCATGATGCAGGTTTTTATAGGATATAGTCATGACAACGCGATGATGAACAAGAATATACATAGTGAGAAGTACATTAGCTTCACGAACCCTTCATTATATCACAAGGTTGTACATCATGGTTGAACCATGACAGGAGAGATTGAGAGTATGCTCGGCAGTGCCGCAACTTTCATCCTTTGAGGCAGAGGAGAATCAGTCTTTGCTCGGCAGTGATGGGCGTCTGGTTCTTTGCGGTGCATCTGGCACCAGTTTGACGGTGGACGCTTGGGACCCAGTCGAGTTCATTCGATGGATTTGAGGTAGACTCCGCCTGACCTCACGTTGCGACTCCGCCGCTCTTCTCTTCAGAGTGGAAGCCTGTTGGTACCTGCATCATCGAACAAGTTCGAAAATACTTGTGCCTCAGTTTGGGGGTTTAAATGCATGATCTGCATGTCGCCCTTTGGAGCCTCATGACAGGATACTCCTCTGGCGGTCACGTCGCTTCTTTGTACGGCTTGGAGCAGTGCGCAGTCCCAAAGAATGGCTGGAACCCCAGTATCATGTGCCACACATGCCGTGGACCTGGATCTGGAGAAGCTTTTGGATCAGATTCGCATCACCCATGGTGGCCATCGATATTGGGTTGGAGGTCATTGCTATTAGGTTGGAGGCCATGGCTATTAGTTATGGAGGTTCACTGTTGGTTCGGTAATGCTAGGCGTGCGACAAATAGATCCTGCATAGCTGATTCAGCGAGGAAAGCGTCGCTTCGAAGCAGTGGTTCTTGTTTCAGGCAGGATTCCTCTGTGTGAAAGTACAGATTTGTTCTGGTGCTTCTCAAAGCTAGTAGGAACAAGTGCCACGCTAGTAGTAACAAGTGCCTTACTAGTAGTAACAAGAAGCGAACGTAGAAACAAGTGCCACGCTAGTAGTAACAAGTGCCTTACTAGCGATGCACTTGTTACTAGTTGCTTCTCGAGTCCCTTGGTTCGGGAAGTCTTCCTTTCGTAAACTTGCCACAAGCTGCCAGAGCGAACGACAGGCATCTACGATTTGCGAACGGACAGCTGGCAGGGTGTGAAGCGCTTTCTTGCTCCGATCCACAACATGCTTTATGGAGAGCTACGCTCAGCGACTAAAGTGTGAAAGCTCCACAGTGGACGAACAGTAGTGGCAGGATGGCCTTTATTTGGAACCATCTCACGCATGCAGCATCCCTTGGCGGTTGCCAATTCCTGGATGAAGCAAAACCAGAGAAGGTTTTTCCTTTTCTTAGAGATGTACCAATGGTGTTTTCTTTTTGACAAAATCTCCACCCAGCAGAGGCCGATGTACCGACATTCGTGCTGCTTTGCGGCCAGAAACCAGACTGCCACTCAGGACATCCTGGCAGCTGACTCGGATGAGAAAAGGGCCAATGCCTCGCCTGTGGCACGCCGGGAGGGTTTGTAGGAGACTTGCCAGATGGGGTAGATCCGCGCTACAAGCGCCAGGGAACCTGCCAGGACTAGAAGGAACATCGCGTGGCCCCCATGCTCTCAGATAAACGATAGCAAAGTCCCCCAAGTCCAGAAATTCTGCATGTCAATTTGCTTGGTAGGAAAAGCTCCTGCAGGAATGTGATCACCCATCTGATTTACCCAAACAGGTTACTTTCTGCAGGCGATCCTCCAGAAGAAGGGGCAGGCGGAGCTGGATGCAGCTTGCACCTGGTGGGTCCTCAATGCAAAGAAGGCGAGATGGGTGACGGTTTACCGAAGGGAAAGCCCAGCTGCCAAGGTTTTCAACCACATCCTCCGCTGCAACACCTCTCATTTCTTATTCTACAGAGGCTAACGATGAGGTCTCTGAAAACACATGAAAACAGAGGTCTCTGTGTCCCACTGCTTCGATTGCAACGAAATGACTTGTTTGGGCATGCGGCTTGCCATCGCAGTTCAGACGGGCGAGTAGCAGTAGCAGTTCTCCGTTCAGCATGAAGTTCACGTGGCTCATCGGTTCTACCTTTCTTCCTTGGACGTGTGCCCAACACGCGGGCACGGTCGTTCCAGAAGACAACCTTGGCGAACATCTGTTCCATAGCACTGTAGCACCTTCAATTCTTCTTCGCTCCCCACCTCCTACATTTATCCCTGCTGTTTTCATTTGCACTTGTGTTTGCTTCTTCAGGTTCAAAACGTTTGGACAAAGATATCGTTTTGATGCTACCTTTATATATATATAAACGTTTCTTTTCAGTATAGACTGGAACTGCAACTGAACTCCCACGTAGAACACTGAGCTCCTTGTCCATCTAAGCCTTTGGTTGTGTAGAGGGCTGCAGGGTCTGGTAGTATTTCACAAGTTGATTTGATCCCTTAGTAACAAGTGCATCGCTACTAGTAACAAGTGCCTTACTAGTAGTAACAAGAAGCTATTAGACACAATAAGCTACTAGTAACAATTCTCTCATTTCACATGGGCTCAGGTCACCGTCGCTGGTGATCCAGGAATGCACCAAAGCGGGAGGTTGCCAAGATGAGAAGGCCGGACTCGTGCTGGATTCGAACTGGCGATGGGTTCACAATGTGCGTGGCTACCAGCATCCCGGACTGACATCTTTTTTCATCACGGGGAAGATGGGTCTTTTGGGTCTTTTCATACTTTTTCATGCTTAGCAGCTCTGGGAGGGAGCATTCTTTTGAACTGCGAGGTTTGTATATAATTCTGTCTGATGTCTTGAATGTTCCTTTGTCTTTTTCTGCCACACGCAAAACCAAGGAACTGTTTCAGCGACAAGGGATGGAATCCTACATTTTGCCCAGACCCAGAATCTTGCAAGAAGAATTGTTCCTTGGAAGGAGACATTGCCGTTGTTGTTGCCGTTCCGGTGACCGGACGTCTCATCCGTCTCATCCAGCCGTCCGCGCGTAAACGAGCCGTACCGGTGCTGCGCGTTTGAGCCCGCGTGATCGACTCCAGGAGTCACAGCAAAGGGCTACAAGAAGACCTATGGCGTGCGCGAGATTGATGATGGCAGAGGGGTGAAGTTAGACTTCATGACACAGGGCGGCAACGTAGGATCGCGGCTCTATGTCACCGATGGGGAGGAGCTTTCTTGACTGTAGAGCATGAGCAAACTAGCGATGACCCCGAATACTCTTTAGGAATTGTGTAATTGTCACGGTTTCAATCAGGAGTCCTATAAGATGTTCAAGCTTCTCAATCGGGAGTTCACTTTGGATGTGGATGTACACAAGCTCAATTGCGGCATGAATGGAGCTGTCTACTTCATTGAAATGGACAAAGATGGGGGCAAAGGCAAGGACGGCAACCTTGCAGGGGCCAAGTTTGGCACAGGGTACTGCGATGCTCAATGTCCTCATGAAAAGTTCGCACCTGGAAGTTTCAGATCATATATATATTTTCCATTCTGTGCTTTTTGAACACTCTTTATGATGCATGTCACCTCTTGAGCTTCCATTCCAAGATGTCAGGAAACAAATGCATCCCGTGGTATTTGTTGCGTGGAGATGGATATTTGGGAGGCCAACAAACATGCGACCGCATTCACACCTCACCCCTGCAGCACCGTGGGACCTCAGAAGTGTATGGGGGACATCGAATGTGGCTATGGTGAGAACGGAGAGCGCTGGATGGGCCTGTGCGACAAGGATGGCTGTGACCTGAACACCTACCGAACCTCGACGGCGGCATCGATGTCAATTTTGGCACAACATGGATGTGTTGGTTCCACCACCCAGGTTACCCTAGATATTAGACATCCAACACGAGATATTTTGCGCACTGATACCGCGACCGATCATTTTTGATTCGACTCGCGACAGCCCCGAAGTGTGCTTGGAAAGGAAACACATCCACTCCGTGGGCGGTAGGTGACATTTCGTGCATCACCGACACATCAACAGTTTTTCAACAACCAATCTTCTGACACATCAAACAACCACAACATAGCTAGGTCATAGCTCATTATTTTGCTGGCATGGCTCACAGTAAGCATGCCTCACAGCATGCCGAAGCGGGGTGGGTGGATTTGATTCCACCAGGTATGGGAGCCAAGACGTTTTACGGTAACGGCTCCAGCTTCGCAGTGGACAGCAACGAGCCCTTGACGCTGGTGACCCAGTTCATCACCCATGATGGGACCGATGAGGGTAACTTGACCGAGATTCGACGCTTGTACATCCAGCACGGCAAGGTGATCGCCAACGCGGCCTCGAGAATCCCCAACGTCACAGGCAGTGCCATCACGGATGGCTTTTGCAACGCACAGAAGAAGGCCTTTGGAGATTACGATCATCACCAAAAGTTGGGTGGCTTAGTGTCAATGGGCGAAACCTTGAAGCGTGGAATGGTCTTGTCCGTGTCCATCTGGGATGACTATGCGACCCACATGGCCTGGCTCGATGCCTCCTTCCCCCCCGGCGAGAACGCCTCGGAGCGCTTGGGGGTTCTGCGTGGACCCTGCAATGCGACCCTGAGTAATCCGACCGTTTTGAGGAAGGGTTGGCGAAAAACGTGTTTGCACCATTTTGCATCACCTAGTGACCTAGTGCAGATGAGTGAGTTGTAGGTGTAGTAATGTGTAATGCTCAAAGGCAGAGGAAGTCAACGGAATGGGCCACAACACACCTGGTGAGGCCCAAAAACAAGAACGGATGGGTGAAGTACTACAACATCAGATATGGTGAGATCGATTCCACTTATTCTGCTAGCGGATCTGCACGACGCTTAGACGACATAGGTGCTGTATTCGTGTGAAGCAGACATTTCCAGCTTCCAGCAAGTTCTTTTGGACAGAACTTCGGTGGTCTACGCCCTGAACAGTGCGAATTTAGACGCCCCCCTTTGCATGGTTTTGATGTTCTCGCAGGTTTCACGGGTTGAAGTGTGCATGACTATCAAGCAGCCAAGTCCAAATAAGACCAGACTAAGTCGCTTGACTGAGTTTAGTCAGAGAAGTTCTTGGCCTTACCAATTGCTTCGACCATGCGACGCCTGCTGGAGATCGAATTAGCTCGACAGCTGAATCTTTGAGGATCGCTTACAGTGCAGGATAGATGGTACCGAAATGTTCCTCCCGAACGTTGGACGAACAAATGGTACTGAAGGCCGCAGAATTCTTGATGGACGCCTTGAAAATGGCCTGAAAATCGGTCTGTGTTCTTGCACAGGGGTCCTGGACACTCCTAAACTGATGTTGCATCATTTGTGTCGAGTCCAGATCCTTTCTTCACATGGTGCCGGGGCATTCGCCGCATTCGCATTCACCAGTGGGTTTGCCCCAATGTGACCACGGAATGCGTGGCGGAGTCGATGGCGCTTCTTTTTTTGTCTTGGTAGAAGCCGTGTGGGGATCATTGTAGTTAGTCTAGTGGGGTGGCAATACCTCACACTTCCAAGTGACTCTTCTGGCATCTTCAGACCCGCGCCTGGCGCAAGTGCCAGGAGTTAATGGGGCTTCCAGTCTTGGAGAAGATCCTCTTTGACAGTGATTTGGCAAAAGATTCCCAAGATGCGTTTTGCTTTTGAGGAGACGGAACTGTGGGATTTGAAGGACCCTGTTCTATGGAAACCGATAAATCGTTCATCAAAAAACAAGCTTGGCCTTTAGATGACTGTCATGTTGCTTGTCAGCTCGCAAGGTGACGATTTCTTTTCCAATGAATATGTGCTTCCAACTAAAAGCACCGGCAGGCTATGAGCCTCACTCCATTGCTCATCCTGACCAGTCTGGCCCACTGGGTCGCCCCACTAAGGCGATGGCTTGACCCAGGGCTTGAAGGGCAAAGGCGCCACCGTGAAGCCAGAGGCCTAGCAGGGGCTAGCAAGGCCCAGAGTGGGGTTGGTGGGCTGAAGACCCCTGCATTTTTTGGGGCAGTTTATTCGGACTGTGTACTTCGCGAGCAGAAACAGCCTCAGGGGCCTTGTGATCGGCTTTTCCAGATCAAACCAAGTCTCTTGAGTATTCACGATTGTGTAGGTCTAGTCTAGGTCAGGCACATGTCAGCTGTGTCACATGTCTCGTGGAAAGGTTTGGAGGGGTTGCCAAGGCGTGTCGAGTGCGGGTACAATCACTGGCTGCTCGTGTGGATCTCGCTTTGCTGTTGTGGCCGAAAGACCGAGCAGAATCAGTTCAGATCATTTGAGGGCTCGACGTTATCAAGAAACTTCTGATCTTTCAGGAACACGCCTTTTGGAAAGTATAATATGCAGTCCAACAGTCCAACATTTTCAGAGGGCAAGAAGAAGACGACGAAGACGAAGATGAAGACGAAGACGAAGACGGAGGAGAAGGAGAAGGAGAAGGAGGAGAAGAAGAAGCAGAAGAAGGGCACACTAATTCATGGTGGAATGGCATCCGAAAATGCTGGTCCCCAACATGATACCTGTGGGGTATGACTCGCGCATGACTCGCGCTTCAGGTCTTTGGATTTCCCACCTTTGCGACATCATTTTGTGAGAGCCTGCTGGACCAGGAGTAGTTGCGAAAATAAACTGGCCTTGTGACTGTCACTAGGGAGAAGACATGCGCATTCCACTTCATAAACCTTTAACGAAGACCTGGTCTAGAATCTCTAGAACGTTCCTCGATGTCAGTTCATTGACCCCGTAGGTTCCCCAAGCTCCGAGTTGGCAACGGCTAACGGAGAAAAACCTCTCAGTCGGATTACGCCGGCCGCCTTTCAACCGAAGCTTTTGCTCATTCTAAGAATCTTACAAACAAAAGAAAACCACTGGAATGCTTACAATGGCATAGGGCCAAGACAGCTTAATGCACTTGAGGAAGGCAGACTATGTGCTGTCAATCTGGGCACCCAAACCTGAAGCTGAACCCATGCAGAACTCTCGAATGGTCCTACTGGACCTATTGACATGTGAGATTTCAAGCTGTGAATGGATGCCTTTCTATGCAAGTTAGGAGAAAACAGCGCCGTCCCAGTTTTGGAATCTGAGACCATTTGATCAAACTTCTTCCAATGAAGGAAGGGTGGATTGCAAAAAAGATCTTGAGCAGAGAACTGACCACCCCATCCCGAACACCATATCTCTCAGCAGTTTTGGATTTGACGCATGTCTGTGGTTCGTCTCCTGTCAGCATGGACGGCATTTGCCGTGGCCCCAACGTTTGTTCTTGTGAACAAAGCGCAGCTAGCAATAGACAGGACGTGATGGGTGTGATTCCAGGTTTCCGGCAACTCCTTTGAACAAATGCCTTTGTTGTAGGGACGGCAACGACAATTCCGCTATTCCTTTCATCTCTTGGATTTGGCTTGGGAAGGTGCTGTGGTGGTAGGATATGCACTGTCCCTGAGCAACGATTAGCCTTGACTTTTGTAGAAGAGGTCAAGTGACTGGAGAGTCAAATAGAATCATAGAATGCTTGTAATTACCGTCAGATACATACCATTCTCAAGCATCAAGCCAAATGACTAGCAGGCAAACGGGACCCAAGGCCCTCGTTTGGCTGCAAGAAAAACTAGATGACAGGTGGCCCGAAAGCCTCTTGCATTGCAGGGCATTGAACTCAACTACACCTCTCCGATTTATGACTGTTGAAAAGAAACCAGCTGCTAATTTGGGAACTACAGTAATTTTAGACTGTTCCAACTATTTCACAATGAGTGGTTTGTCTTGAGCTTCTTCAACTCCGCTTGACATGTCACCCTCGGTTGAACCTTGCCAAGCTTCAGTTCAGACCCATGAAAAACCAGCTTCTTGCCACGGTATGCTTTCTGGAAGTTGTTTCCCCTTTGGTAGGCTTTCTTCCTGGCAATATGTCGGTTTGGTTTCCAACAACTTTTTGTGCTTTTGGGCATAAGTGCAGAACCGACGCAAAGCTCTTGTTGCAGAGTGTCGGCCTCCGACACTTAGGTCCTTTCTGTCAGTCAGGCACCGCAGGATGTCTGGGGCCTTGAATGTTCGTAATGTGCCATCAAGAGTTCACAAAGTCAGGACAACGATGTTCCAGTCCTTGGTTGGTTGTGCTTTCACCATTTTGCATGGGTTTTGCTGTTAGGAAAGCAGGTTCTTGTTTGGTGCATTGCCGCACTGCTTAGGCTCTTCTTCATATTTGACGTATGTTTCTTTATGTGCAATCAGGCGGTCTACCTACCTTTGCCACTAAATGGTCGCGCTCACTTCCACCGCTAAGCTGGCGCTTCGGCCAGCTTCGAAGCGCCGATGTCGGGTTGAGGCCAAGCTCTTGGAGTACGAGGTGAAAGCTTGCAAGCATACCTCTCTCCCCAGCTCGTACGCCACCGGGGAAGACGGAGTAACTGAAGGGAAAGAGGGGCAGTAGTGGCCGAGGTTCCAGTTGCAATCTTCTTTTTTTGTTGCAGGTGGAGCCGCCCAACTTACCATTGTTCTTGTTCCAGAGAGCTGCCAGATAGTGACGCTGGTCTCAATGACTGAGTTGCGAATTTGCTCTTCCGCTGTCGTTGCTGTGCTGTGTCTTGTCTCCCCTCTTCAATCGCTGCCGCTGCTGCTGTGTTTGCACAGCTTGTCTCACCGCCTGCTCCTGTCGGGTCGCCCAAGCTTGGCTGGCTTGCTTTGTGATCTCGGTTTGCCTGCCCACTGCTGCTGTCTTGTGTCCCAAGCAAGTAGGGAGACATATTTGTCTCTCGCGTGTGTGAGAAAGAAACATGCTATCTGGGTTCTTTGGTGGTGTCCTTTTTGTGCTCAGCAGCCTTCTCAGAACACATAAATGCACACGTTGACAGAACACATGTCTCTTTCCATTTTCGGGGCCTCTAGACCACATGTCTCAGACTGAGCCCTGGATCTTGATGTTCTGAGCCGCGCCTCCCGGCTAGAACACCTGATTTGGAGACGAACAGGTTAGAGACTCGCGCGTTCACCACGTACACCGGCGAGGCGGGAAGTTTTTGGGGAATAACACTGCAGTGAACCACGGAGTGCTTCCTGGCAAGTTGTGACATGTTGAATCCGCAAGTGGGAACACGTAGTGCACGTGCAGTGAAGCGCATGGTCCAGGTGCACGTGCACGATGTTTTTGGCTTACCTTCCACGGTCAAGAGGCCCGGGATCGACCTGCTGGGTGTCGTAGGAAAGGATACACGCTTAGCTCATTGCTGATCGATCAATGGACTGCCAAAGTCCTGGCTGATGTACCCCTTCCGAGCTATGTTCATCTTCACTATCTCGCTGCATGTTTCCTTAATATATATATATATACTGTATATATATATATACATACTTTATGTGTTTTTTTGATGTTACGAAAGCCAGCCGATAGGCGAACGAAGTGAGTATTAGGGGTGCGGGGATGGTTGCATAAGGGCATAATCTGGATGAACTCAGAGTCTGGTGGGGGAGAGCAAAAAAAGGAGGTGCCGAAGAGTGCATCATTAGCATCATGAGATGCTCAGGAGGTTATTCAAACAGTCTTTCGACCACGGGTGGGAGTTCATGTCGAGCAACCACCGGTAGGAAAGTCCTGACGACCCCTTGGATGTATCTCGAAATCAGATCATGGACAGGGGGTGCTACCTGCATGAAAGAGGCTTCCTCCTCATAGACATGTGAAGCACGACTTGGGCCTTATAACATATAATATAGTCAGTTTCACAAGGTTTGGTCCGGCACTTCGGATAGGTGTTGGAAAACCTTTTGACTGAGTCCGATAGGGAAATTCTAAAGTCGATCTAAAGTGGTATCGATCTTATGACCAGGTCACCACCCCAAGTGGTGGTCAATTCTGTCAGAAGTATATAACATCACCCGCAGCATACTGCCAAACTGATCCAATCTTTAGCTGTGGGCAGCGCCGAGTGCCGGCTATCTACGATCCACAGTTTCCAAGGGGGAAGGCTGCAAGTTCATGCAGAGAACCCGCTCATGATCACACACAAAGAGAAACGCTCCACAACTCGCCTCAAGATCCTTATCCGCCGTGGTTCCATAGTATTCGCTCGTGAGCTTGTTGATGGCTTCACCTCAGACCCGCCGACCGCGAGGATGATCATCGGCCTCTTCCGTCCCAGTCGGGGGCGGGCGGTTCTCGGTTCAGGGGGGACAATGGGACGTGAAAAGTGGTTGGAACGCCTTTAAAAAGTGAGATGCGCGTTTCCCAACTCCAGCACTCTGGTTTCTTCTGGTTAATATGAGTGGAAGGGTTCGACACACCAGA